TGTCGGCTGCAGAATTTGGATGGGTGGGCTTTGGCCTTAAGTAAGGTGTATACATAGTTACTATGTACAGGGTGGCAGGACCGGGGTTGTGTTTCGGGCCCGTTGACACCAACACCCTGCATGGGGGGGGTTGGGAGGGGGGGGGTGGGGGGGGGGGGGTGGGTGGGGGGGGGGGGGTGGGAGGGTTGGGGCCCTTAAACCCCCTGAACTCAGCTCAAGTGTCTCGAGGACCACCCGGACCTTCATTCATACTCGAGCATTCCCGATTGTTGGGGGCGCAAACTTTTTAAAGAAAACCCCCCAAAATCAGGATTTAAGACAAGGACGCCAACCCTAAACTCAAACCCCAGGCCCTAAGCTCATATGGGCCTCGATGTCCAAGAGTTCTTGCCAGTAGGTGACCTGGGAGAGGAAGAAATCTGCGGCGGGTTCAAAGGTTCATCCATAAACCGTATAACCCAATGGCTCTAAGGCTTAAAAATTCTGCAAAGCCTAAAGCCATGAAGCCCTGAAGCCCCAGACCCCTAGACCCGAATGCCCTAAAACCCTGAACCCTTGCACCCGCACCCCCAGTCAAGGGGTGCTACAATGTCTTCACTCTGTGCAATATATTGCAACTTCCACTATGCTTGTTGGATCTCCAGTCGTTGCTGTCTCAATCCGAGACCGTTTTAAACCCACATTTCGCTGATTAATGAAAGAAATCGTTTTCGGTCCTGGGGCCCTGTGTCGGGAGCAACTTGGCCAGAAGCCACCCTAACAAAAAATCGCAAAAGGAGCCTGCAAGCCGTGTTGCAGTCTCCGGAATCAGAATGAAAGTTGCGCCGATGGCCACACCGTCAAAACAGGTTTGCGAGGTTTTGGAAGAAGCCTTTCAGAGGAGCCTGGGGTCCTTCAAAATCGACTTGGCTGCATTCAAGACCTACAAAGAGCCTCCAAAAACAAGGCAACAACTACTAAAAACACCTTTCCATGCTGTGAAAGACTGATGTTTGATCTGGTTCCGGTCGGTTGCCCACGCATATTTTGACAACCGGCTTGTGAAGCGTTTAAAGCTAAGGAACCGGTTCGAGCTTGGAGCAAAACCTACGAAACCCAGAGGGCAGGCAACATACCCAAACAACTGCTCAGGCCCTGCGAAGTTGAGTTCGGTTTTGGTCTGCCCTAACCCCTGAAACTCCTAAGCCCTGAACCCTCAGCTCGGACAGCGTCCCCGGCCATATTTCTGTGCCCAATATTGAGGCCACAATTGCACCCAAGACTTCCATACGCATCTGCCGATATCAATGGGTACGTGTACGCGCGTATACACATATAAATATGTATTTATACATACATACATACATACATACATACATACATACATACATACATACATACATACATACATACATACATACATACATACATACAGACATACATACATATTCACATGTGTTTATATGTATTTCAGGTAATATATGTATCTGACGCAGCTAGATAGGTAGATTGACGAAAGATGAATGGATGGGGCGAGAAAGCAACAGACAGAGACACAGAGACACAGAGAGACACAGAGAGACACAGAGAGACACAGAGAGACACAGAGAGACACAGAGAGACACAGAGAGACACAGAGAGACACAGAGAGACGCAGAGAGACACAGAGAGACACAGAGAGACACAGAGAGACACAGAGAGACACAGAGAGGCACAGAGAGGCACAGAGAGACACAGAGAGACACAGAGAGACACAGAGAGACACAGAGAGACACAGAGAGACACAGAGAGGCGCAGAGAGGCGCAGAGAGGCGCAGAGAGGCGCAGAGAGGCGCAGAGAGGCGCAGAGAGGCGCAGAGAGACGCAGAGAGACGCAGAGAGACGCAGAGAGACGCAGAGAGAACGCAGAGAGACGCAGAGAGACGCAGAGAGACGCAGAGAGACGCAGAGAGACGCAGAGAGTCGCAGAGAGACGCAGAGAGAGACAGAGAGAGACAGAGAGAGACAGAGAGAGACAGAGAGACACAGAGAGAGACAGAGAGAGACAGAGAGAGACAGAGAGAGACAGAGAGAGACGGAGAGAGACAGAGAGAGACAGAGAGAGACAGAGAGAGACAGAGAGAGACAGAAAGAGACAGAAAGAGACAGAAAGAGACAGAAAGAGACAGAAAGATACAGAGAGAAAGAGAAAGAGAAAGAGAAAGAGAAAGAGAAAGATAAAAAGAAAGAGAAAGACTATGGCTATGTGGCCGTCATGCATCGTAGATGATAGAAGTTAGGGGCTTTTGGGAACAAATTAACCAGCTGGAGTGTGCATTTTCTCACAACATAGGTTTTGTCGGCCCTGTCGTCGTTTCAATTGGCTAGCTCACAGCCCCCTCCTTGTCTATGATCCACCTGTTCCCAAGCAGGGATATGGATCATGGGGGGATGACTCTACCTCTTACGATACATATATATATATATATATATCTGCATATACAGAATTATATATCAATGCGTACACACATATATAATCATATATACAAAACGTTGTACAAATATCAATGCATGTGGACAGATATGCAGAGAGAGATGTCGTCAGAAAAGAAAAGAAGCCCTAAGCCCCAAACCCTAAGCCGCTGAGGAAGTCGCGGGTTCACCCAGGTTGTCCTCCGGGCCGAAGTAGAGCTTCAAGATCCTGCAGTCAGCCCCCTCTTTGTAGGGCTTTGAGGGTTTAGGGTTGTGGGTTTTGGGGTTAATCATCTGGATCCCTTTGAAACTCATATCACCTCAGCCAGCCCTTTTAAAACCACATAAACATCCCCGCACCGCGTAAAGAAGGCGAAAACCAGCGTCGACTTTTCGGGTGGGGGGGGGGGGTGGGGGAACACACTGAAGAGGGCCCAAGATTCATTAAGAACCATGAAGATAAAAAGCGAGAAAGAAAGAGCAAAAGGGTGACAGCGAAAGCGACCTAAAGAGGTACATGATTGATCCATGAGGAGCCGCCTCGGGTATCTGGGAAGTGGGTTACCGAACTCACTCAGGAGTTCAAGAGCTCTTTGGAACCCAAACCGCCAGAAAGTTAGAACCCCGGAATCTCAACCTCGTGAGGTTGAGCCGCTCAACACACAAACAGCTGAAGCCCTAGACCCTCCAAACCTAAACCCTTCAAATTCCCACTGCGCAGAGGCCTCCGCTCAGGGTTGTGGAAATACTTCCCATCCGCCTGTGGGGACATTTTAGCTCATTAGTGGCGTCGAGGGGTTCAGGGTTCAGGGTTTGGGGCTTCTGGCCTTCTCGGCAAAGAATCTGTGGCAACACAGCTCAGACCCACCTCGAGAAGCCCAATCCCAAAACCCGGCAATCATGACCTACATCCCAACATCACTGCTGAAACCAGAACCCAATCCAAAAGCCTAAACCCAAAACCCTAAACCCTAGAAGCCAAAACCCTAGAATCCCAGACCCGAACCCTAGAACCCAAAGCACACCACTGCCGCCCTCCGGAGACCCTGCTCGAACCTGAGAGGCCACACAAGTAGCTTGGGCTTGAAGTGAAAAAGCGGCAACCCACCAAACGGCGAAACCCCCGAGCCCGCCTGGTTGCCCTGTTCAGGGATGCACCAGTACCTTGGCTTCAGTGCTTTCAGAGCTGCTTTCAGTTTTTTGTTAGGGCTTGGGGCGTCTTTCAACAAATCTGAATTTCACGTTGGGTAAATAGAGATCCAGGGCTTTAGACCTACATCCCAATCCACAAAACCCCCTAAACCCCCTAAACCCACTAAATCCCCTAACCCTAAACCCCGCAAACGCCCGAAGTCCGCAGAAGCCCCTGAGGATTCACAAGCCTGAGAGGCATCCACACCCTAAACCCCCAAATCCCAGTTGCTTGAGGCTCTCGAACTTCATCTTTCGGCCACGGCCCATGTCCTTGCTTGTTGGCTTAGGGTCTGTAGGGCCTGTAGGGCCTGTAGGGCCTGTAGGGCTTGATGAATGTAGCAAGAATGATCAGGAAAGTTCGAAGACGCAGAGATGTTGCTGCCAAATTCTGCACATCACACCTGCCAGCACAGCTCTAGCTTCATGACAAAGGTGTCGGCGGACCGGGACTGGAGGGTTGGGGTTTCGGGTTTAGTGTAGGGGTTGTACGCGTTTCGGGCCTCATGCGCTTAGGAGTTCAGGGTTTCGGGGCGTCTGCCATCCCTGCCGGCAAGAATCCATCCATTCGACCACTGTCTCAGGCTTGATCTGACCTTATCTGGCAGAGATTAGCACCCCTGCTCGTGGGCACCCCTACTCGTTACAGCCGGCAGACCCCGGCTTTTTGTTTGTGGTGTCGTACTCAGTGGCCTGTCAGCAGCATAGTCTCAACGCGTGATCCCTTGCAAGCTGCAAAGGCTCCAGTTATGGACTGAACTTTGCTTGGAGTCACTGAGATGGGCAATGTGCAGGGAGTTCCGCGTGGTGGGCCCGTGCAAAACCCTAAACCCTCTAAACCCTCTAAACCCTCTAAACCCTCTAAACCCTCTAAACCCTCTAAACCCTCTAAACCCTCTAAACCCTCTAAACCCTCAAACCCCCTAAACCCTAAACCCTAAACCCTCTAAACCCTTAACCCTATCCCCCCCCCCCTCAAAGCCAGAGCCGAGGTCCCAGGATTGTTTTCAGACACCTCGGGGCCCCCAGTTTCTCGGGGAGTCCTGCAACTTGCCTCGATGCTGGCTACCTCTAACCCTAACTTCGCGAGACTTGGGGGATTTTAGGAAGTTTAGGGGGAAGTTTAGGGGGAAGTTTAGGGGGAAGTTTAGGGGGAAGTTTAGGGGGAAGTTTAGGGCTTGATGACAGGAGCCCCAAGCTACCCTTAGCCAACCCGACGACCCCAAACCCACATACCGACCGCAAAGCCCCCCTAACCCAAAAGCCCTAAACGCCCAAAGCCCGAAAACCTTTCACCTTCCCAAGCCCCAAACCCCAAACCCAAAATCCCTAAACCCTGTCAGGCCAAGAAGCATCGCAGCGTCTTTCCGGCAGCCAGGTGCCAGGCCGCCGGGTCCCCCAAGTAGGCTTCTGGATCCCTGCTTCGGGTCGGGTCTGGGGCTTTCCCGCGCTCGAAGCCCAATCCGGAAACACTACAGCCCTAAACCTAAACAGCCCACCTACTAAACCGGAACATCTACCCCCAAACTCCGAAACACTGAGCCCTCCAACACCAAAAATCCCAAATTTCTGGGGTTTGGGGTTTAAGGCCTGGGGTTTGGTATTTAGGGTCAGAGGTTTAGGATGCATGTATAGCGTCCAGGATTTCTCGAGTTTGGGGCAAAAGAACTCCAAAACGCCCTCCAGGGCGTGCGCCTGGCTTTCAGGCCAAAGAACACGGCCGACTCGGAGAAATACAAGCGATGCTTCTCCTGGCTTTTGAGGGCTGCGGGGTGTCATGGGGAATTACTTTTCGGGATTGACGGCTTACAAGATTTCGCATTTTTGGAAGTAAGTTTCGGGTATGGAGTTTTAGGGCTGGAGTAGCACAGGAGCAAACTGAGTAAGCTTCAGCCTAAACACGGATCCTCTTCCCCCATGCTTCCTCATAGCCTGAAGAGCCCCGAAAATGAAACTCTGCACCCTAAATCGTCAACCCTCAACAGTACCCAAGAAGCCATAAACCCAAAACCCTCAGTATCACTCGGAACCCCCTTAAGTCGGGTAAGGCAGGGCACACCTCCTTGAAAAAGAAAGCCTAACTCTTCCTTTAACCTTTGGCTTTGAAAACGGGGAACCTAAACCCTGAACCCGAAACTCAAGGCTTAGGCCGTTGGGGGCTGGGCTTAAGGTCGTTCGCCCTGACGAAGCTTTCGAGCTTATTCCGCATCCCAACCTCCACAGCATCTGCGCCATATTTCCGCAAACCCTGAACCCTAAACCCTAAACCCTAAACCCTAAACCCTAAACCCCAACAAGAGAGGGGAGGCGCGCCTCTGCCGGCGGATGCCAGGGGACCGTAACGAAGAGGCGCTCGAACTTCGGAACCTTTGCGCAATTCAGGGCTTGCTGTTTAAGGGAAGAATCTTGGCTGCACTTAGGAGGGTAGCTATAAATTAAACCTTTAGCTGCCTTACTAAGAAACCCAAAAACCCAAAAAGGCTAAAGATCTAAAGTTACAGTAAAGTACCACAAAGGAATATGATTAGGGTTTGGGGTGTTAGAGGGTTTCTATAGGGTGCGGGGTTTAGGCTTACGGGTTCAGGGTGGAACCTCACTGGAGGGTTTAGGGCTTCGGATTTGAACCCCCCTCTGCTTCCCCAAAGCACCCTCAGCCCCTAGATCCGGGAATCCGAAAGTGAACCCTAATCCCCAAATCCCAAACCCTGAACCTGAAACCCTAAACCCTAAACCCTAAACCCTAAATCCTAAAACTCCTCATGGCTCTAAAGTCCCGCAATCCCTCAACCTCAAACCTGGCCTCTCCAATCGAAGCCGGTACACCTTCAACATTCCCCACCAGATGCTTATGTACCCGAGGCCCTAAACGCTGAACCCCGAACCCTAAACCCTAAATCCTAAACCCTAAACCCTAAACCCTAAACCCTAAACCCCCGAAACCCTGAACAACAAAAGCGGCGAGGAGCCAGAGCATGCTTGGCACCTGTTTTCCCGGAGTCGCCACAGACGGGGCAGATGGCCTCCGGGGCAAACGGGCGGATTTAATGGCAGGGGTAAGATCTGAAAATCATGCTGGTGTAGGAGCTTAGGGTTTGGGGTTTGGGTTTTGGGGTTTAGGGTTTAAGGTTTAGGGTTTAGGGTTTAGGGTTTAGGGTTTAGGGTTTGGGGGTCTAAGGGTGTAGGAATTTTGGGTTTAGGGGTTTTGGGGGCTCATGCAAGATGTCATCGGACGTTCCATTTGAGAAGAACGCAGGAGATCCTTAACGAAGAAGCTAAGTACCTAACGACAGGAATTAAGAGGATCCCTGCCCTTCCCTAAGGTTCCTTCTAGGTACCTCGCAACTTAAATACCACCCACCCCGATCCCCCCCCCCCCGGCAGCAGCTCCGGTTGCTTAAGCCTAGGCACGTGCCTCGGCACTCTTTTGAGCCAAAGGTCCCAACACACAAAACAAGAGGAGAAGATAATCTAAGTTCTAAATGTATGCACTAAACGTGGAGTTACTCCGCGAAAACCTAAACCCCAAGCCCTAACAAGCGCAAACAAGCTTTTGTGCCAGCTGGCCCGTTCTCTGAATTGCGGACCCCTGCCCAACTTGGCCCCTAAAACAAAAAATAATCCTACTAGTACCACCCTAAAGCACTAAACCCTAAAGTCCAAAAACTCTAAAGCCTAATCCCTCAAACGCTGAAGCACCCAAAGCATCATGTGGTGTCCAAAACGCTGAATCGCTAGAACGCAAGACTCATCCCAAACCCTCTCTGCCTAAGCAGATCGGCCTTGACCTTGATCTTTTGCTCTGGAGTTTTCCCCACGCCAGCACAGGCCGGGCAATTGCCTTTGCTCGGTGAGTGAGCGTCTGGGCATTCCTTTGCACTTTAGGCAAGGGGAATGCTCAAAGTGAAATTTTTTTCCTGCTGCCTCAATCCTGAACGGCTAAACCCCCAAAGCCCTGGGCCCCGAAACCCCGAACGTCCAGGCCCCAAACCCCTAACCAAAAAAAGTGGACCCCGGTGGTGGTTTAGGGTGTGGGGTTTACACTCCCTCTTCAATCTTTCTGCCACCCCTCTCTGACCGAGACTCCAACCCTTAGGGCGGCGCAGAACAAAAACACAAAACTGCAACACTAGAGCTACATGCGAAGCTGCGTCCGACTCCCGGCGATGCAGGAAGCGCCAACCCCAAACCCTATAGACTATAGACTGAGTACCCAAGGTTTGCACAGAGGCTTGAGAATCTCTCTCCTACTCTTGGGCGACGTTCTAGTTTAGTGGCCCTTTGTGGCTGTTTAACTTATGAAGAAAACGCTTACGCCGTGACAACCCCCCCCCCCCCCCACAAAAACAAAAAATGAATAAGCAAGCAAAGGCGTGCAACCAAGCATCCGTCGTCACAGGCCTTGCAGTCATGTGTCGTCGGGATCTCACCCTTGCCCTTGCACTTGAGGCACTTACCTTCGAGCCGTGGCCCCGGGAAATGAGGAATAAGGACTGCTCTGGGTGGTGTGGGGCTCAGGGTTTGGGACTTCGGGAAGCTTTGGGCTTTGGGGATCAGGACTTGGGCCACTTGAGGCTTGGGCCTGAATGGTGGTTTAATCTGCACGCCCATAGGCTCTGTGGCCTCGCTGAACAGGCGAGGCTTTCGCACAAGCGTTAGTATAATATAGTATCACATAGTATCATATAGTATCATATAGTATCATCTAGTATCATCTAGTATCATCTGGTATCATACAGTATCATACAGTATCATATAGTATCCATGTCGGTAGAGATCTTTCGGGGGAGCAGGAGGACGGGGAGGGGGAGCAGGAACAAGAGAAAGGAGCAGGAGGTGACGGTGGTCATCTTGGCTTCCTAAAGAAGTCGGCTGAAAATCTTAGGGTTTGGTGGGCTTCAGCCTGAGCTGACCCAAACCATATAGCCCCTTACCACAAGCCCTCAAATGCTGAACTCCTAAACCCTTGCGCCTCGAACCCTAAGCCTTCAACCCGAATCCCCACGCAGACACCTCAAGGATGCTTGCAACCCTGAACAGCCCTAGCTTGGAAGCTCTTAGAAACCTTTCTGACACCTGTTATAAGCCTTGGGCAAGCTTCTAAACCCTGGTGAACCCCAAACCATGCTCAACCCTTACGGCTCACAAACACTTGTCTAACCCTTGAACCCGCAAACCCTTACAATCCCTATTACACCCAAAACCTGAACTCTAAAAACCCTCTAAACCCTACATCCCTTATGTCCCTCACAAGCCCCCAAGGGACCTTTACCACTAAACCCTAAGCCCGAAGCCCTAAGCCCTAAAACACGCTAAACCCTACATCCCTTATGTCCCTCACAAGCCCCCAAGGAACCCCCCCAAGAAGCGCCTGGAAGCTTCTTGCACTTGGGGCATGGCTTCTTGCCAGCTTCGCAGTCTGGGCAGTCCACCTCCTCAGTTCCTGGGGCACCCAGGGAATAGGGCTTAGGGCTTAGGGCTTAGGGATTAGGGCTTAGGGCTTAGAGCTTAGGGCTTAGGGCTTAGGGCCCAGGGCTTAGGGTTTAGGGCTAAGGGCTTAGGGGTAAAGGAGCCATTTTTCCTGCAAGGCGTTCAAAAGCTTAGGAGGTTGACGCTGGGAAAGCCCAAGATTTGGAGAAGCTTCGGGTTCCGGGCTTCGGGGAGGCAGTTTCAGCCTCTGTGGACTCCAAGCAAAAGGGGTCTACCAGGGTTTATCGAGTGTTTATTGTGGGGTTTATTAAGGGTTCTTTGGGGCTCTCTAGGGTTTTTTGTAAGGTTTGTAGGGCTTATGGGGATGATAGGGTTTTTGTACGATTTATGTGGGGTTAATCGGGCTTTAGGGATTTAGGGTTCGGGATTCAGGGTTTCTACCTCCACCGGCCCCGAAAAAGGGGATCCTTAAGTATAGCACAGGCACCGACGAAGCCCGGCGTTTTCGAGTCCCCACACATCTCCTCGGACATCTGCTCCTAAACCCTAGACCCTAAACCCTAAACCCGAAACCCTGAACCCCAAACCCTACCAGAACAGCCCTAAAGAACGAAACCCCCTGGAGTCAGCCGTCTAGGCCCCTAAACTCCGAACGATCCAAACTCCTATAAGGAAGGGAAAGGACAAGTGACCCCTCAACCTATAGCAACCTAAAATCACCTATAGCAATCTATAGTAACCTATAATGACCTTTTGCAGCCTCTTATAACATGTTATAATTTGTACTAACCTACAATGACCGATCGAAACATGCAATAATCTATAACAACCTGCAACAACCTACAACAACCCTATAAGAACCCATAATACCCTATAAAATCGACATTAAGATTTCACCTATAGTTCTGCAGTTGGGTTGCGGGTTTGGGACCTAGGGCTTAGGGCTTCCATACACTCGACGCCTAGGAGACCTAGGGCTTATGGGCTTCCACACACTCGACGCCCAGGAGAGCCCAAGACTCCTGACTTCATAAAGGAGCTTCAGGCAAGGGCTGTCAGAGCCAGAGCTCTAAAGACTTTTGGGGGTTTACGTAGCTTAAATCCGTAGTTGGGGAACTAAGCACCTCATACAAGCCTGAATAGCCCTTCAAGAAGGGCTAAAGGGAGGGAGGGGAAACATTCCCTAAGTTCCTACGAAGAACCAGCAAGGTTAGGCGCTGGAGTTCAGGGGGGGCAGGTCAAAGGCGTTCTAATTTAGGCCAACTCAGGCCGACCGTGCTGCTGAAGTAAAGGTGAACCTTGGGATGGGAATACGTGGGTAGTAGAGGACTACTTGAACAAAACCCTAAAACAACCCCAGCAACTCAAAACCACAAAAGCCAATGCGCGCGAAAAGGCTCCCCAGCAAAAAGAAGCTTACTATGAAGATAAAGCTGTATGTAAATTAAGCTACAGTGCTTGGAACTACTGGTTTAGAATCAGCAAAATAGCAAAGTAATCCTAATGTCATCGAAAAAGCACCCCCTCAATAAAGAAGAATCATATACCTAAAAACATTTATCTAATAAGAAACATCAGAAACCATCTAAACCCAAAGCTCCTTGGCACTCAAACAACAACAAAACACAGCGCTCTAAACCCCAAAGCCTTACTTGACAGTCTTGCAAGACGACTAGAGTCTTGCAAGGCGACTAGACCCTCAATCCCAAACTCCCAACCCTGAACCCTGACCTCTAAACCTCCAAACCCTAAAACCCTAAACCCTACGTAAGCATACGTAAGCCCTGAAAACTCGAAGACCCAAGCCATGAACAAAGAGGAACGCGCCGGAGCGGCGCATGGGGCCCAAGTTTGAAAGAGCTCGATCCAGCCGCCCCTGAAGTAGCCTGGTGGGCTTAGGGCCTCAGGACCTTCGGGTTAAAATTTACATGGTTTAGGGGTTTAGGGTTGTAGGGCGCCAGGTTTGCAAAGGGGTGCAGGGAATGGCACGGGGGGGGGGGGCCTGAGCGCTCGTCATCGCCATAGAGGGATCCGTCCTGCGAGCACAGGAACTTTCGAGGGCAGGAGGCTTGGGGGTTCGGGCCTTTGGGTCTTGGGCCCCCAAAGCCTAAACCCTGAATCGCGAGATTGCGAAGGCGTCGGGGCCAGAGGCTGTGAACGGAGCATTTGGGACTTTCGGCCTCCTAAACCCGTGTAGGGTTTGGGGTTCACGGCTTGGGGTTTAGGGTCGCTGGGGTGCCGGGTGCCACAATCCCTAAACCCGAACCCTAAGCCTGAACCCCAAACCCCGACCTGAACCCTAAACCCTAAGCCTGAACCCTAAGCCCTAAAGCCTGAAGCCCCAACCCCCCTGCGATGCTTTAAGGCCCCGGGGCCACAGGTCGGGCCTATGGTTCTTCACGCCTGAGGGACTCTGGCTGGCAGGGCTTCGGGTGCTGAGCTTCAGTGCCAAAAAAAGTAAAATTCAAGGCTTTGGGGGCTTTTCGGGCTCAAGTTGTAGGACTTCGTGCTGGTTGGGCGAGCTAGGGTTTAGGGTCTGGGGTTTGGGGTCAAGGGTTTGGGTGGTGGGGCCTTGCACCACTTGAAGGTGTCTGTGCCGGACTTCTTGAGCTTGCCCAGGAACTTCACGTAACGGGTTCCGTTGCCGCACTTCCTTTGTGGCAAATTCTCGGGGCTTAGGCATCGCAGTGGAGTGTTATTTGGGATTTAAGCCCCTTGGTTTTGACATTTGAAGATGTCGTGTTTGGGCAGCAAACCAAGACAACCTTGAAAAACACAAGCTCCAAAAAATCCTACGCTCAAGCTGAGAGGAAAAAACAAACACCATGCAGCCGTTCCGACTCACTCAGCCTGGTATCTTTTGTGTGTCCACGACGACCTCCATGATGCCTTGGTCACTTCTCAAAGCACTCACACAACCGCACGCACTTTTCAAAATGATGTTCCCCCTGTTGTGGTCATGTTGCATGTCGGCCCACATAGTGACAGGGTTCCCCCAAAACGGCCCTAACAGTGCCACAAGCTCCACAAAAAAAAACAGATCACACCCCAAGATCTGAGTTAAGGGTTCTGTGTTGAGGGTTTGCACAGGGCTTATAAACCAAAGGGCTTATGGCTTCAACTGTTTAAACCCCCAAGCTAAAGCGGGAATCATTGAACCCTAATTCCAGCCTAATGCCTATATCCCTGGGCTCCTGCTGAACCTTGGGAAGTTCCCCCATATACTAACAGTCCTTAATAAGGATTATAGTACTCCCTATTCTAGTCCCTATCAACCTGAACCCCACAAACCCTAAAACCCTAAATCCGCCCACTCCCAAATGTGCCAAGTGTGCAAAGTGCCCCGATGCCAGAAGTTTGCCCAACGTGTCCAAGGTGTGCCAAGCCTTAAACCCGAAACAACACTCTCCGGGACGCCCAGAGGGTACTGACCGGTGGGATCGGCTTTATACCTGGAGGCGGCACGGGGGCGCGGGCGGGGGAAGGGGGCTGTTTAGGGCTTAGGACTTAGGGCTTGGGGCTTGGGGCATAGGGCTCAGGGCTCAGGGCTCGGGGGCTCAGGGCTCGGGGGCTCGGGGCTCAGGGCTCAGGGCTTAGTTGCGTTTGGGGGTTTAGCGTTTTGCGCGCTTAGGGTTTTGGGGTCGTTTAGGGGTTTGCGGGTTAGGAGCGGCTTCGGGGCTTTAGGGGGTGTTTAAGGTTTCGGGCTTCCAAGGCTTGAAGGGCTCTGGGTGTTTAGGGCTTCAGGGGATTTCGGGCTTAAGAGCTTCAGGGCTTTGGCGTTTTCGGGCCTTGGCGTTCTGGGGCTTCGGTCAAGGGACTTCAGAAGCCGTGACCCTTTGGGGACCCTTGCTCGGGCTAACCACCAGTCCCCTGGCGGAGAGAATGTGACGTTTGTGACTACCAAGCTGTGGGCCAGAGAGTGCCTCTACAGCCGAAAGCACCTGAGAACAACTCACAGCCCTCAAGCCTACGTAAACCCTTCAAAGCCCTGAGCCCGAACCCCGCAACTGCTGGTATCAACTCATCTATGAAACCGTGCGTGCGCGCAGCCCGTAATTCCACTTGAAACCCTTCTTCCACTGGGCCCTAAACCTCAAACAGCCGAAGACCCGCGGGTGCAATCTTATCCCTAAATTCCCATATCTCAAAACCCAAAAACCCTAAGCACCAAAATACCCAAAAACCTTAAGCCCCTAATCCCCTACAACCCCGAAAGCGCGTATAGACACCCTAAACCCTAAACCCTAAAAACCCTAAACCCTAAAAACCCTAAACCCTAAACCCTAAACCCCTAAACCCCTAAACCCCTAAGTACGTAGGACCTTTCTGCTCTATTTGGCTTTGCTCTCTGCCTGACTAACTTTTCAGGATTTTAAGGATTTTAAGGATTTTAAAGATTTTAAAAAGGCTTTAAAATCCTTAAAACCCTTAAAGTTTTTGGAAAATCCATTTCCTAAAACTTGAAGGATTTTAAGGGTTTTAAGGCCTTTTTAAAACCTTTAAAATCCTTAAAATCCTTAAAGTTTTTGGAAAATCCATTTCCTAAAACTTTAAGGATTTTAAGGGTTTTAAGGCCTTTTTAAAACCTTTAAAATCCTTAAAATCCTTAAAGTTTTTGGAAAATCCATTTCCAAAAGTTTTAAGGATTTTAAGGATTTTAAGGATTTTAAAGATTTTAAAGGGGTCCCGGAGGCCCAGGAGCCCCGGGCCACCTTTTAAAATCTTTAAAACCTTTAAAATCTTTAAAATCCTTAAAGTTTTTGGAAAATCCATTTCCTAAAACTTTAAGGATTTTAAGGGTTTTAAGGCCTTTTTAAAACCTTTAAAATCCTTAAAATCCTTAAAGTTTTTGGAAAATCCATTTCCAAAAATTTTAAGGATTTTAAGGATTTTAAAGGTTTTAAAGATTTTAAAGGGGTCCCGGAGGCCCAGGAGCCCCGGGCCACCTTTTAAAATCTTTAAAACCTTTAAAATCCTTAAAATCCTTAAAGTTTTTGGAAAATCCATTTCCTAAAACTTTAAGGATTTTAAGGGTTTTAAGGCCTTTTTAAAACCTTTAAAATCCTTAAAATCCTTAAAGTTTTTGGAAAATCCATTTCCAAAAATTTTAAGGATTTTAAGGATTTTAAAGATTTTAAAGGGGTCCCGGAGGCCCAGGAGCCCCGGGCCACCTTTTAAAATCTTTAAAACCTTTAAAATCTTTAAAACCCTTAAAGTTTTTGGAAAATCCATTTCCTAAAACTTTAAGGATTTTAAGGGTTTTAAGGCCTTTTAAAACCTTTAAAATCCTTAAAATCCTTAAAGTTTTTGGAAAATCCACTTCCAAAAAAGGATTTTAAGGATTTTAAAGATTTTAAGGATTTTAAGGACTTTAAAGATTTTAAAGGGGTCCCGGAGGCCCAGGAGCCCCGGGCCACCTTTTAAAATCTTTAAAACCTTGAAAATCCTTAAAATCCTTAAAGTTTTTGGAAAATCCATTTCCTAAAACTTTAAGGATTTTAAGGGTTTTAAGGCCTTTTTAAAACCTTTAAAATCCTTAAAATCCTTAAAGTTTTTGGAAAATCCACTTCCAAAAATTTTAAGGATTTTAAGGATTTTAAGGATTTTAAAGATTTTAAAGGGGTCCCGGAGGCCCAGGAGCCCCGGGCCACCTTTTAAAATCGTTAAAACCTTTAAAATCTTTAAAATCCTTAAAGTTTTTGGAAAATCCATTTCCTAAAACTTTAAGGATTTTAAGGGTTTTAAGGCCTTTTTAAAACCTTTAAAATCCTTAAAATCCTTAAAGTTTTTGGAAAATCCAGTTCCAAAAATTTTAAGGATTTTAAGGATTTTAAGGATTTTAAGGATTTTAAAGATTTTAAAGGGGTCCCGGAGGCCAAGGAGCCCCGGGCCACCTTTTAAAATCTTTAAAATCTTTAAAATCTTTAAAATCCTTAAAGTTTTTGGAAAATCCATTTCCTAAAACTTTAAGGATTTTAAGGGTTTTAAGGCTTTTTTAAAACCTTTAAAATCCTTAAAATCCTTAAAGTTTTTGGAAAATCCATTTCCAAAAATTTTTTTAAGGATTTTAAGGATTTTAAGGATTTTAAAGATTTTAAAGGGGTCCCGGAGGCCCAGGAGCCCCGGGCCACCTTTTAAAATCTTTAAAATCTTTAAAATCCTTAAAATCCTTAAAGTTTTTGGAAATCCATTTCCTAAAACTTTAAGGATTTTAAGGGTTTTACGGCCTTTTTAAAACCTTTAAAATCCTTAAAATCCTTAAAGTTTTTGGAAAATCCATTTCCAAAAATTTGAAGGATTTTAAGGATTTTAAAGGTTTTACAGATTTTAAAGGGGTCCCGGAGGCCCAGGAGCCCCGGGCCACCTTTTAAAATCTTTAAAACCTTTAAAATCCTTAAAATCCTTAAAGTTTTTGGAAATCCATTTCCTAAAACTTTAAGGATTTTAAGGATTTTAAGGGTTTTAAGGATTTTAAAGATTTTAAAGGGGTCCCGGAGGCCCAGGCGCCCCGGGCCACCTTTTAAAATCTTTAAAATCTTTAAAATCTTTAAAACCCTTAAAGTTTTTGGAAAATCCATTTCCTAAAACTTTAAGGATTTTAAGGGTTTTAAGGCCTTTTTAAAACCTTTAAAATCCTTAAAATCCTTAAAGTTTTTGGAAAATCCATTTCCAAAAATTTTAAGGATTTTAAGGATTTTAAGGATTTTAAGGATTTTAAAGATTTTAAAGGGGTCCCGGAGGCCCAGGAGCCCCGGGCCACCTTTTAAAATCTTTAAAACCTTTAAAATCCTTAAAATCCTTAAAGTTTTTGGAAATCCATTTCCTAAAACTTTAAGGATTTTAAGGGTTTTAAGGCCTTTTTTAAATGTTTAAAATCTTCAAAATCCTTAAAGTTTGTGGAAAATCCATTTCCCAAAAATTTTTAAAGACTTTCAGGATTGTAAGGAGTTTTAAAGATTTATCCTGTAAATATCACACAAAACGGAAAAATAAAAACCAACTTTGCCGGTCAAAATTTGCCGAGATCCCCTTGGCGCCCCGCAAAAACCCTGCAAATACCAAACAAAACGGAAAAGGGTAGGAACAACTTTGCCGGTCAAAATTTGCCGGAATCCTCTTGGCGCCCTGCAAAAGTCCGGCAAACACCAAACAAAACTGAACAGGGTAGGAACAACTTTGCCGGTCAAAATTTGCCGGGATCCCCTTGGCGCCCCGCAAAAACCCTGCAAATACCAAACAAAACGGAAAAGGGTAGGAACAACTTTGCCGGTCAAAATTTGCCGGAATCCTCTTGGCGCCCTGCAAAAGTCCGGCAAACACCAAACAAAACTGATCAGGGTAGGAACAACTTTGCCGGTCAAAATTTGCCGGGATCCCCTTGGCGCCCCGCAAAAACCCTGCAAATACCAAACAAAACGGAAAAGGGTAGGAACAACTTTGCCGGTCAAAATTTGCCGGAATCCTCTTGGCGCCCTGCAAAAGTCCGGCAAACACCAAACAAAACTGAACAGGGTAGGAACAACTTTGCCGGTCAAAATTTGCCGGGATCCCCTTGGCGTTTGCCCTGACGGATAGCGTCAGGGCAGCAATTACCAGCCGGAATGCTGTGGAAGTCCTGAGTGCATAGCGCCGGGACTGTTTGCCCTGACGGATAGCGTCAGGGCAGCAATTACCAAGCGGAATGCTGTGGAAGTCCTGAGTGCATAGCGCCGGGACTGTTTGCCCTGACGGATAGCGTCAGGGCAGCAATTACCAACCGGAATCCTGTGCAAGTCCTGAGTGCATAGCGCCGGGACTGTTTGCCCTGACGGATAGCGTCAGGGCAGCAATTACCAGCCGGAATCCTGTGCAAGTCCTGAGTGCATAGCGCCGGGACTGTTTGCCCTGACGGATAGCGTCAGGGCAGCAATTACCAGCCGGAATCCTGTGCAAGTCCTGAGTGCATAGCGCCGGGACTGTTTGCCCTGACGGATAGCGTCAGGGCAGCAATTACCAGCCGGAATGCGGTGGAAGTCCTCAGTGCATAGCGCCGGGGCTGTTTGCCCTGACGGTAGGACCTGCCCAGTGCTAGTTTTGAGCGTTTTGAGTCCCTTAACTGCTTCCAGGACCTGCCCAGTACCAGTTTTGAGCGTTTTGGGTCCCTTAATTGCCAGTTTTGAGGTTTTTGGGTCGCTTAGCTGCTTCCAGGACCTGCCCAGTGCCAGTTCCGAGCTTTTCAGGTCCATTAACTGCTTCCAGGACCTGCCCAGTGCCAGGTCCGAGCTTTTCAGGTCCATTAACTGCTTCCAGGACCTGCCCAGGGCCAGTTTTGAGCTTTTGGTCCATTAACTGCTTCCAGGACCTGCCCAGTGCCAGTTTTGAGCTTTTGGCCCCTTAACTGCTTCCAGGACCTGCCCAGTGCCAGTTTTGGCCCCTTAACTGCTTCCAGGACCTGCCCAGTGCCAGTTTTGAG